CGTTGATTCGTTGGAAAATTTTGTAACTGTAGGATCATAAAAAGCGTTGATGCAGTTTAATTTATTTTGCTTCTATGTATTTTACGATTTTACCCCTTACCGCTTAGCACTGATTTTTCTAATGCTTTTTTATTGAGAAAAATAGAATGACTCAACTGCCCTTGACTTTTCAGGCTACTACTGTTACCATTTTCAAGGACTTGTTTGGATAGAAATTAATTTTATAAGAAAACTTTGGTATGAACTATTAATGAGTTTTATAATAAAATTTTATAAAAGTTTTATTAGGAAATTAATGTTTTCAAGTTTAGTAAGAAGTTGTTGTTGACAAAGAATTATAAGTAAGTCTTAACTTAAAAAAAAGGTTAGGAGAAAAGTTTCTTTTATTTATGAGAATAAAAAGTTATTTATTGAGAATTGTAGTGAAAAATATTATTTTTTTAGATCTCATTTAGTTGTTCTACTCTCTAAATAAGAGTGATTTAATTTAGTTATCACATTTTTTATTTTATTATAAGATATTATATGTTAATATTTTAATTTTATTGTTTTTTCATAAGAGATAGAAATTTGTTAAATTTTTTTAAAAATTAGAAATAATAGTGAAAATAAAAAGATAGGTCTTAATTATTATAATAAATCAATTTTTAGTAATTATAAATGAATAAAATAGGACAATTAAATTAAACTGAATGAAGATAACTTTAACTTTTATTTGTATAGTCTTAATGTATGAAAAATTTAGAATATCCTAAACTTTTTTTAACAAGAGAAAAAAGAATTTTGAGAAAATAATTCATGGTAATTTCTCTTTTGATCCTTTCTTTTTATTAATTTATAAATTAAGTCAAGACTTTGACCATTTGACATTTAATTCATGCATGTCTTAAAGTATAATTTTGTGTTACTTAAGTATGTTATTACATTTTATTTAATTTCTTTTGGATCTCAAGTTTTAAGAACCAAAAATAATAAAAACTCGACATTCTCTAGGAAACAAATTATAATTTCAATTTACCAAAACAAATTCTAATTTCAATTCTATTCAACATTTTGGAGGAACAGCTAATTTTTCTAATATTATTTTTAAAAGAAATAAAATTCCAATAAAAAAAGAAGTTTAAGAGAAAATTTTGAAAGTGGGGAGGGTATAATGGTCATTCAGTGCACCAGTGAGATTTTAAGAAATAATAATTAATGGGAAAAGCCAAGGGCAGAAAGGGAAAGAACGAATGACATGATCTGATAAATGCTTAAGTTTCTGCGTGGATTTCTCGTCTCGAGTTTGGATTACAGAGCTTAACTTTCAGAGAAAAAGGAGAGCGGTTTCTAAATCAGAAAAGAACGAAGCGATGGCGGATCAGTTGACCGACGACCAGATCTCCGAGTTCAAAGAGGCCTTCAGCTTGTTCGACAAGGATGGCGACGGTTCGTTTCTCTCCCGATTTCTCCTTTTCCGTTCTCGAAACCATCTCTACATACATAATCCTTCGTTTAACAAGAACTTTGTTGTTTGAGTTTCAGATCTGAAATTTAATTCATGATTTTCGCTAACAGTTGATGGATTTCCGTTCGGTTTCTGTGTTCTTTGTGATAATTAATCATCGAAGCTTTGTTTGTCAAAAATTGTTCTTCTTTTTATCACATATTTCGTTTAATTGGAACAGAATTTTCCCCCTTCAGTGTAATCAGAAGGTGAAACAAGATTTGATTCTCCTTTAATAAAAATAGGAAACTCTCATAAATCAGAATATAATTTCATTTTGTTTTTTTCAGCTAATTTTCTTCTGGAATCAGGGAGCACGCTGCAGTGTGTTAATTATTTTTATTTATGCTTTTTTTTTATTTTTTTATTTTTAGATAATTGGAAGTATGATTTATAAATTTATGGTAATTATTTTTTAATTCTGGAGACACGAGCTGAATTTTCAAACAGGAGAATCTAGTTCTGATTTTTAAAAGGCCTTCTGTTACCAATTTAAAAGACCTTTCATATAGGATTTTCGGTTTTCTGTTTTCTAGTCTATGTAAGTATTTCCGCGGTTTTCTGGACAATTTTTCGTCTCAAAAAGCCGCATACAGATGTAGATCTGTTGCATGTTTCTTTGACTTTGATGTGCGAAATTAAATTTCTAAAAATGGAAGAACATAATAATTTCCTTATTTATTAATCTTGTTTAAAACTTGGAAAGGTTTATTTCAAAGGTTGTTCCTCATGATTTGATTTTGCAGGTTGCATTACCACCAAGGAGCTTGGCACTGTAATGCGGTCGCTAGGACAGAACCCGACTGAGGCGGAGCTTCAGGACATGATCAATGAAGTCGATGCTGATGGGAATGGAACCATTGACTTCCCTGAGTTTTTGAACTTAATGGCAAGGAAAATGAAGGATACAGACTCTGAGGAGGAACTGAAGGAGGCATTCCGGGTTTTCGACAAGGACCAAAACGGTTTCATTTCTGCTGCTGAGCTGCGCCATGTCATGACAAACCTTGGGGAGAAGCTTACTGATGAAGAAGTGGATGAGATGATCCGGGAGGCTGATGTGGATGGAGATGGTCAGATAAATTATGAGGAGTTTGTGAAGGTTATGATGGCAAAGTGAGGATTTAATCACTTAACCTTTTATGAATTCCATTTGGTGGTTTTGATTTGAAGACTTAAAACGTGGGCACGTCTGTAATGATGGTGGGTGAACTGTTTATCATGGTCCTTTATCTGTTTCTATGACTATCTTGGTTTAGTTTTATAATGCAACTCTTTTCTGATCTCATGTGTTCAGAGCCTAAATGGACAACTCATTTTCTTATTACAGTATTGTCTATTAATTTCAGCTACTGTGCATAAGAAATTAAGAAATCTATGTTTGGTATATTTAATGGTTTTGTTTGACTAGAGACATTGGTACATGGTTTGTCAAAATTGGAAAAATGAAATTTAATGCGTAGTATGAAACAGGTGTTGAAAACTTGAAAGCTAAATTCTTTTTTCTTTTTTCTGAAACTTGAAATGTAAATTGAAACCTGCTTTTTTTAGGAAGTGTGATAATTAAGTTAGAACTTAGAAGAGAGTAGGTCTTCCCTCATCCCAAAAAAAGGAGTGACATGGGCAGCCGAGTTTATTTAACTATTTAGCATTCTCCATCCACAAAATGCCCTACTTTTCAAGGAGAAAAAGGAGTTAGCCATTATGAGCCTGCTTTATTCAGACGGAGACGAGACGTGATGATGATAATTGGTGGTGGAGGATACCTTTTTGTAACGGCATGCGATTTGAGCTCACTAAAGTGAACATGATGTCTCCGTTAAACAAAGCTGCTTCGTTCTTTCTTTTACAGAGTAATTAAGAACTGTTTTTTGTTCAACAGAAAATAAGAAATTGGTAGAAAAAACAAAAAATACAAAAAATAAGAAATGCTTTTTGTTCAACAGAAAATAAGAAATTGAAAAAATAAAACAAAAAAAGGGTGCAAACTGCAAAATCTGTGCTCTTTTTTTTTTTCAAAAGTGAGGAAAGGAGAAATGGGTCAGTCCACGGGATGAAGAAATATCAATGACTCGTAAGTCAAGTATAAATATTTAAGTAGTTAATGAAATTTTAACTCTCAATTAATCTTATCAAAGTATTAAAATTTAAAGATGAATCATTAGATCAGAAGGATTGATTCTTTAAAATGCTTGTTTGGTAGTTCTTTTTACATGAATAGTACATTTTATAACTATAAACAAAAGGGAACATTCTTATATAAGACAGCATGGGAGGCAAACTGTACATCAATTTTCTTTTTCTTTTTTTCTTAACAAAACAAGGATAATAATATAAAAATAATTTTTATATAATTTTTTATATACTTTTATATATTATTAAATAAATAAATATATTTGATATTATATATTTTAAATGAGTAAAAATTATTTAAATAATATGTAAAATGCTATCAAAAGATAATATAGAAAATCTATCTCTAAATCATTTTATGTAAAACAAAAAGAAAAACAGAAAAGAAAAGAAAGCTCACGTGCATGGAAAAGAGATCACGTGCCTGCGTGCGCCTTTTTTCTTTTCAATTTATTGCTGTTACCCGGCCGAACCCGTCCTCCCTGCCTTCAAAACTCCCTCTCTTGATCTTCTCTTCTTCTCTCTTTACCATCACACAAAGAATATGAAAAAACAATCATCTTCTTCCAACCGGACGGCGAAGTCGCCGGAACATCTCCATGCAAAGACCATCGGATGTATGTCCGGCATTTTCCATTTCCTTTACAAGTTCCGCAATCGCAGAAAGCTCCTCACCTCCGGTTCGTTAATTTCCTCCTCTAATTCCAATTTTCCGTCTCCAATTTCAAAATCTTCAATTCTAGTTTAGTGTATAGTAATGAATATCTTGAATTTTATAGGGAAAAAGGAGGAGTCGGAAAGAGCGCGAGAATCAGTGAAAATTCAAGAGAGAGCAGAAGAAAACGTACTTAGGAGTCCGGCACTGCCGGCGGAGATCCGAACGCCGCCGAGCACGGTGGTGACGAGGCTGATGGGGGTGGAATGTGAGAGTGAAACAGCGGAGGAGAAGAGAAGAAAGTTGGTGGGAGCATTGGAGAAGTGCGATGAGGAATTGAAGACGGTTCAGAGGATTATTGAAGTCATGAAGCGCAGCGTCAGCGTCGGAAGTGATGACGAGCTAATCGGCCATAACGTATCGGCGGCTGCAGACTTCGCTCTGTCCCCTGATAATACCAACCTTCATAACTCCAATTCCAAAATCGGTGAGAATTTGATTTCATTAGCATCTATTCTTCTTAATTTAATTAATTTAATGAAAAACTGTAAAAATCTGAAGCGCACAACAGCAATTTTTTTAATAGGAGTAAAACTTATAATAATAACAACGGGTCCTTTGGCTTCTCTATTTATTTATTTTATTTTATTTTATAATTTAATATAATTTAAATTATAAAATAAAAATTTTAATTTAATCATTAAACTTCTTATAAGTTACTTTAAAAGTAAAATTCAAAAATTTTCTTTCGACTGATTTTTTTGGAAGAAGAATTTAGTAACTTGTTAGGGATTGTATTAGTGGTTGATATATTAGTGTTAGAAATCAATCACAGCTAACAACTTAAATTTGTATTTGAATTTAAACTTTTGATATTCACAAGATATCTACATGAGAGTTTCAAACTTGGATCATTTCTTAAATAACTTGTTGGTTCACTACTTTAATTTCAAGTGCGCTAGTTGAACTAATATATTACCTAACTGCAAAGCCTTTCAATGAGATTTGTTTGGTCAATTGATTATTCTGTTTTGTTTTCTTCCATATGAGTGTGCATTGAATTTGAAGTTCAATTAATGTCCAACATAAAAGTAGGTTTTTTAATTAGTTGGGGAGATATTGTAAATGCTCCATGCAAACTTGGGACTTCAGGGATAGGAAATTTAGATTTGGCTTGTTCAAAATTGTAATAATATAAATATTTTTGGTTAAGAGTCATGGATTATCATAATCATCATTGATACATAGTGGGGAGACAAATTGATACATAGACAATCATGGTAGGGACAGCAAAATGACTAACAGCTATTTCGTGAGATATTTTGTTTCATTCTTTGTGCAATAAACCATTAGCTTGCATAAGGAATTATCATTTGAGATTTTCTGTTTAGATTAAAAGAAAAAAATCAGTTTAGACAACCACCACTTTAAAATATGTGAAATAGACTTACCTGAGAGAAGATTACCTAAGACTCTGGTTATTTCTACTAACATTTCTTTTGTTAGTTAAAGTCGAAAAGAAATATTTCTCTTCTCTTTATCATTTCATAAACCAAACACACTAACATAGCATTAAGGGTAGAATTAGAGGGTTTCAAGTAAGAGTATCAAGAAAGGTTGATGGAAAGAGTTATGCCAAGTGCCAACGAAGAAGAATAAATTATCAAAAAAATATTGGAGTTTTTGGGTGTGTGTAAGTTGTAGTCGTAATATGCTCCTATTTTTGTCTTAAGTGTGTAATTAAGTAAGCTTATTTTTTATTCATTGATTGTAAGAAATAAAAACAAATAGAAAGAGTCAAAAAGCTACAAAAGGGAAAGAGAAAAAGAAATAGGTGCAGAAATTAAAGAAGAAACGACTTTAGGGCTTTTGCAGAGTCTCTGGGACCCCACAAGGACCAGGGCTCCCAACATCATTCTCCATTCCTGTTAAACCAAACACATTGGCTGCACTGTTTAAAATTGAAAGTGGTGCTTCTGAAAAAGAACAAAGTATATGCTACCCTCCACTAAAGCAAGTGGCCAGAGCGTGGAGAACAGTGTCTTTAATTATATAAAAACTAAAAGAAAGAGGAAAATTCTCATGCATGAGTTATTTTATGTAGGAAGACCGAGTATCCAGCGGCAAGAGAAGCAACAACAAAATAAGAAGCCAGGAGAAGAGGAAGAAATCACCAATACATGCTTGGTTGATAGATTCACAATGGATTGGGTTGATGCAGAAGGGGAGAATGTAGTGAGAAGAAAAGCCATGATAGACAATGTAAACCAGGTCTGCAGTGATATTGCATGGGGAGAGAGACGAGAAATTGGCAGAATAGGGCTGGCTTTACAAGATTATATATTCAGGGATTTGATCGAAGAGATCGTTAGAGAGATGGGTAATCATTCTATTCATTTACTGCCGTTTGAGGCATGTAAAAGAAGATTGTGTTTCTAATGTGATTCGGGGCAATCTTCGAACATCGAAATGCCAGAATGGACGCAAAGCTAACAGGTGATATGGTAGAACGAAAACAGTATTTTTCAGGTTAGACAACAAAATAGGAGTTCAATTTGACTTATGAATTTACTAACTGCTCTTAATATGTTACTTCATTAATTACATTTTTAGCAAGACAATGTTGTACGCACCTGGCCCTTGTGGCCTAGTGGCAATAGTCATCCCGGTGCATTCCCCCTCTCTTGAGCTGGGTTCAAAACCCGCCCCTTGCAAATATATTCAAAAAAAAAAAAAAAAAAGCAAGACAATGTTGTACAACTCCCAATAATATTTTTTTTTTGATTTCTCGTCCGGTATCCAAGGTTTCGCCCCGATTAATCCGGATCGACTCGAGTCGCGCACCTGAAAATTGTGGGTGAGTTTCCCAACAAAAATTGTTGTGTATACAAGGTCTCGAACTCGACCCCAATAATAATTTTGATAAGAATAATGATGAAAAAGATGAAAAGAAAGGACGATTTCGAAAGACGAAAATGAGGTGTCATGCCACCTCAGCATATATTTTAATAAATATTTAAAAAGTTCAACCGTATTTATCTCCTTCACTCATTCTCTCTATTTTTTCTGCAAGTTTTTCTTTGTTATGGCTTCATCCAAATCCAAGCTCTGTCTTCCAAATCTCCATCATTTGTCTCTATTTCTCTCATCCCCTTGCAAAAACTAAGGGTAGATTTAGGGTTTCTCCTAAATAGGGTTCAATTTTACCAAATGGTTAGGGTTTAATTTTTCTTTATTTTTCTTTTCTTTTCTTTTTTTTTTTAAATTTTAAAATGACGGCTATGGGTTTCGATTGCTAAGATGGGTTTAAGCATGGTCCTTGAGTTTGGAAAGTCCACACAATAGAGAAGCTTGGCAAAAAATGGGGAGATGAGAGACAAATATAGGAGATTTGGAAAGAAAAAAAAAAAAATCAGAAAGGAAGTAAAAGATAAATAGGAAAACATAACTTAATTTAATATATTAATAAACGTGACTTGCCACATCATTGATCTCAAAAATTCGTTGCCACGTCATTGATTTAAAAAATTCATCCCATTTATTCGTCCTTTGTATCATTGTCCTTTTGATAATAGTTTACTCGTACTTTGTATCATTGTCCTTTTGATAATGGTTAAGTAAAATATAGTCGACTTAAGACGTCCTACACTTCGTTTTTCTGTTTTAATAATTTCAACACCCGACTTGCTTTATACCTTTTTGTTTTGATAATTTCAATGCCCAGGCTGCACAACAATGCAGTCCAACCTGAAAAAAATGAAACTCATAATAGAATCCATCACTTTGCCAAACTGAAGCATCCATTACACAACATGCAAACAACCAATTTCTCATGCCTGGCAGTATTATGGCTCTTTTCGATAACAGAAAAAAGTTGCAAACTCACAATGGTTGATTCAATTTTTTCATAGTCTCTTCAGACTTTTCTTTCTGGCATCCATTTTCTTCTTTTCTCCCAGAACTTTTGTTGGCCATTCCTTCTTCTGGGTAATGCCTGTTGTTGCTGTGGAAACAGCTCCACTAACACTTGTTTCGGATGTTGGAACTGTTGTTGCTGCTTGATCCTGGCTATTTCCTCCTTTTGGGGCCGCACCAGATGAGGCCACGGGGGGAGGCATTGATAATGCAGCACTAGCCGCTGCATTTTTCTGGTCAACATTGAGGACTGAGGTGTTAGACTGGTCCACGTTCAGTGCTGTGGTTGATTCGCAAATTGCTCCAGTTTTAAACTTGGGTTTAGGCTTAGCGTGGATTCCTGTGTAAAGCCTGCACAAATAGCAGAACAAACTTGAAGTGCACTACCCAAATCAAAAACCACAACGATTGAGTGAGTAAATCTTAAACCAGAAATTAACGAGGCACATAGGTTTGGTTGACAAGATAACTAGGGAAGTTTGTCCCAATCCAGCCCAAAAGAATTTGACTACTAAGTGGACAAAAGGTACGATAATAAGATGTGTTTAATTTTGACAATTGGAAACCTCCAAGGATGACAGTTCAATTTCTCATAACCTCTCACAGAACTGGTAATCAGATAGGGATGGTTTACCTGGCATGCCTGGCATACTCATCGTAATTTTCAAGTAGCATCTTGCCAGCCTGTTCATTCAATGCTGATTCAGGAAATGGCTCAATTAGTAAACACCTGACCACCTGCAGTTTATACAAGTTATTGTCGAGGAAAAACTTGATCACAAGCAGAAACTTAAACTTGAGAACTAAATTGATAATGTAAGTAGCCCCAAAGCAGTTCTTATCAAATGATGTAAATTAAGCCAATATACTATTAAGACTAATGTAACTTACAATGAGGACATGTCGTAATCCAAGACTTGGATTCCAATCCTTTTTTAGTGTGTTCACACATATTTCACCGTTGTTAGCAATGTTTGGATGGAAAATCTTAGTCAGAAAATAACCTGCAATATTCATTGTTAGAAGATTTACTAGTGCACATAACAAAATATGTTGTAGAAATAAATAGCAGAAATTGCAACATTTAGAATGGTGCAAGTGAAGAAATGAATAACAACAGATCCACAAATCCAGAGTGTCTGTTAATATACCTTTTGGAGGAGAATGTGGAAAATCATGAGATAACAACAACTTCATGCGGAAAACACCATTTTCATAAGGAGTACCAGCTGCAAAGTACAAACATAAGTATAAAAATGTGAAATTGAATCAATATGTAAAACTTTTAAAGGACAAAACTGCACACCTGGGCCTTCAATATCAGCATAAATGATTGAAAAATCATCATCATTCACTCCAACTTTAATGCCTTCAGGAGGGGATTCATCAAGACTTTTCAATTCCTTTGCAAGTTGCTTTATCACATTTGGGGGAAGATTTTCATTGGTTGCCTAAGACAATAAAACAAGGGAACAATGTCAAACACAAAAGCAACTCCTAAGTGGAGGTAAACAACTCTGCTGACATACAGACTCAATGTCAAATAACACCCCCTTCAGAAGAGCAATATGATTTATTGTAAGTGAAGTTGCCAACATGGAACAAGATGCCTTTTGCATCTCTCCCTGAATAAAACAAGTGGCATTCTCCAGTGTACTCCTACTAATAAAAGTTTAAAGACTCCATTTTTTCTTTACCTCGACAAGAGTAGTGAATGTTTTACAAGAAAAAGAAAAAAAATTACCATGGCAAGTATATAAATGAATCCTTGATAAGAAATCAGAGTCCACAGCAAGTGATTGCCAAATCTTCCTCAACACTGGTGTTGATGTAGTGTGACAAAATAATTCAGTTAACACCAAAAATATTATCTGAAAATTGAAAACCAACAAAAATTAGCATTTGCCTCTTGAACACGGCCAGCAGCTCTTACTCCACAGAAACAGAGTGTATAAACTAGCATGTTAGTGCCATAACCCGTGAGGTTCCTGGAAGCTTAAAAACTCAACTTTGCATCATCTAAGATTCCAAATTCATGTTACTGGTGTAGGACAAGTCACAAGAAGCCTGAAATTTAATTTTTCCTTTTATTCTTCCCTCATCAGAGATAATTAGTTAACTCTATAGAGTTTATGAATACTTGCATACATTGCTCCAATGTAATGAACAGCAGCCTAAATGAACTTCTAGCTGTTCAGATATTAACAGGAGAGAAAAAAGAAAAAGAGAATACAAATTGATGACAAGGGAACAACAGAACAACAACACTGAATGCAGGTCCATCTCTATCACGTGCAAGCGCTAAACAGGATCATAGAATCAAAAGGCATGCCAAGCTTACAAACTGAAAAGCAGGAAGGAATCATACCAAACCTCGAATTTTTCCTACTCAAAACAGTATAGGAAATAATGAGAAGATACATATAAAAAGATCTGAAAGAAGCTAGCAGTACGTAAAAGGATATGATTAATTAAAATGAAAAATCTTCTTATTCTATCTTATAAAAGCAACCTAATAACAATAAGAGATAAATTCTGATGACCTAAGCTATCTATAGAACAATACAGAAAGATGCCTACCAAATACAAACCCAAGCTGATACCGATTTTCCAAAGCAAAACCAAAAAGAGAAAAAAAGAATATGTTAAAATCAGAATCATAGAAACATTTTATTCAAGCTACCCCTCCCCATTCTCTTTTTCCAGGCTCAAATGAATATCGCTTAAGTAATATTCCCACGTTACATCTTCAGTAGAAAAGAAAACAGAAAAGAAAACATGAATGAAACTCCTAACAATTAAATCCAATTAAGCCGCACTTCAAAACCCAAAAATCCAAGTCTCTGAACAGAGACATCACCCATCTTCAAGCCAATCAGTCCCTCACCCACAAGAAGAATCTAACTTGAGTCTTTCACGTTTGAACCAGAATGGGAGAGAGTCAACATCATAACTATCCCTCACATTGTCCCAGATTTAATAAGCAACTTAATTTAAGAAATCCATAAGTTTGCCTATCAAACCAAGAAAACAACCTTGAAAGTAAATAAGAAAAAGAAAACCACATCACAATCAGCAAAGCAAACAAAACGCTAATGCCCCACAGAAACCATCTCTCCAATTTCACCAATAAAACAATCTCATACACACTAAAACTGATGCCAATAAGCAGGATCAAGACGAAACAAGAAAATCAACTGAAGAACAAGCACAAGATCATCACTTTCCTTGTAAAGTCGGAACCCCATAAACCCAGATTAATCTAGAACAAAAAAAAAAAAAAATCACATTCCCAGTTCAGAAACATACAGATTACCCAAGAAATTGGAAGAAACAGAAAACCCAGATTACAAAAAAATCACCTTTATTATGGGTTTTCCTTGAGAGCATTGGGGAGAGAGCTATGGATGCTACGATGTAAAACAGAGACTGTGAGGAAGAAGGCAATCTCTCTCCTTGGGAATGATTGATTAGTTGGTTTTTGAGTGCATAAATTATTTATTTTGGACAATTTTATGGTAAGAAAAATTAAATTTTTATTTTTTTTTTATTTTTTTGAGATTAATAAATGATTTAATCTTTTTAAAATTATTTGAATTAAAATGACGTGTCGCTACAGAAATGCGCAGAGTTATAGACGTTAGATAGAGACCTTTTGATGTAAATACTGTTTCAGTTTGTCCACACGCTGACGCCGAGCGTAGACGAAAAACGCGATGAG